CCCTCCCCACCCAGCCCCACCCAGCCCCTCCCCACCCAACCCCTCCCTGCACGACGGACGGACACAATAATCCCCTGTGGGCTGGTGGAACCAGTGGGTTCCTACCAGTCAAAGACCTCCTTAGCAAGGGACACTTGGATGCACGCTCATCATTGATGGTCACGTGCTCCTGCGTTGAGCAGCAGAATGTTTACATTTCACATCGGCTGCATTTCATCCAGTGGCACCGATTTTTGAAACCAGATCAATAATAAGTAAACCCGTAAAAACAAAGTTTTTCACTATAAATCCTTTATATGCGTGGCGGCTAGAGTCCTCTCATCCTCTGGCTTGAGATGGCTGCCACCTATGGGTCAGATGATTGTCTGGCAGCATTAAACAATTGGTAATTAAATATTTAATTTGTTTTCCCTAAACAGTGTAAAATTTTAGAAAAAAAATTTCACGAACATTAATTGTCTCGCACAACGAGTCTGTGTGCCAAATGTCAGCTCGATTGGATCACGGGAAGTGGGTTAAAAAACGACCGAAAGATTTGCACGGTCCTAAGCAAGCAAGCAAGCGAACTTAATATAAAGGATTTAAAAACCAACATTGATTATCCCCAGCAAACAGGGCAACGCTGCATCAGCCACAGCTACAGGTTTCTCCCATCACTTAAAGAGCCCCCGAGTGAGAACACCCTGCAGGATAGAGAGAGACCAACACAGCACTTGCACGTCTGCGCGAGTGCTGTGTGGTGTGAAACAATTGTCACGGGAGGAAATATCAAGTTACATTTCGATTTAAAGCTTTCGCGACTGCAGGGATTCATCTTCTTGGTTCTTTCGGTAAAGTCACGTAGAATGGAAGTAATAAAATAATAAAAATAAAACGTAATAAAATAATTCTCACGACGTTTCGGCTACAACGCAAGCAGCCGTCTTCAGGTGAAGAATGAGACACTGCCGAGCTTGGCGCTTTAACAAAAGAATGTGCAGATTCCTCTTGATATGCACATTATTTTGTTAATGCTCTCTTCTTCTTCCACCTCCAACCCAGCTTATATATAAGCTCCAAGCTTGGCAGTGTCTCATTCTTCACCTGACGACGGCTGCTTGCGTTGTGGCCGAAACGTCTTGAGAATTATTTTATTGTTTTATTTTTATTATTTTATTACTTCCCTTCTACGTGATGACTTTACCGAATAACCAAGAAGACAAATATCAAGTTGGCAAGGCCTCAACACGTCACTCACCGGCGCAACGCTGCGTAGATGTCTGGGGGGGGGGGGGGGTCTTGAGCTCTTTTCTGTGTCCTCATGTGGTGGGGGTGGTGGAAATCCAACGTTTCGTGCCTCTACCACAGGCAGGCGAACGCGTGCGGCTGTGATCGCGTGGAGCCTTGGCAGAGCGCTTTTAGAAAACGTAGCGCGGATAGGAGAACACGTGAGCGCGAATCACAATCTGTAGAATTGATAAGCACCGCCCATTGACAGCACTGCCCATGGAGTGACGTAGGTAGACACGTGCTACAGGCAGCAGGAACAATGTCCCACACTGCTGCCCACCAGGGATCACGTGTCTGTCTGACTGTCTGTCGTGCATAAATAAATATATAATACACACAGCTCTTTGATTGGTGGAGACCTGGCCTTAAGATTTGCATTGAACTGCCCATATAGGACTCACCACTGTGATCTCTACATTGGGTCAAACTTAACATCTCTGAATGTTCGACGGCTTGTGCACCAGATCTTATTTATTCATGATGTACTTGCAAAAAAATCTGCAGATTACCTGCTGGATCTCGTCTCTGTTTCAAAGAACAAATTTGACCTAAGGTCTACACTCATTTACCAGCTTAATATTCCCTATTGCCGTACATATACTGGAGGAAGGGCCTTTGCTATTGATGCCCCCAGGGTCTGGAATGCTGTTGCAAATAAATTGAAACTTGAGTCACTACCTATGAGATCTTCACTCAAAACTGCTTTAGAGGAGTTGTACACCCCTAGCTGCCAGTGCTATTCAGTGACCTAAAATAAAATGTTTCGCTCCGGATGATCGCTACAAAGTATGACCTGTGTTTTGATTTAGTGTGCTGATCTTAAAGGTGCATTGAAAAATTACAATACTCCGATTGATGCTCCTGCTGTTGTGGAGTGACTCATGCAGCCAGCTATGGCTGCAGGGTTTTGGTAGTACATGTTGTTTATGCCATTTATTGTTAAAATTCCGTCAGTTCCTATGATTGCTTTTCATTGCCTTCATGGCTTTATTTTGGTGATTTCGAAAAGTGTATTGGTTTAGCCATGTTTGTGTTGTTGTAGTACAGAGTTAGACTGATGGCCTTAATCTAAGTTGTCTTGTGGTTGTTGTTGTTGTTTGACTTGCATCCCACTGGGATTTTTGCACACAGCGTTGGTGTACGGTGTTTTTTCTGCAATATTTTTGCTGTCTTTTCTTGGATTTTCTCTTTGCACTTAGTCACATATTCACTTTAAGATGTTTTTTTTGTTCATGTTTTTGTTTTTTGTTTGTTGCGGTTGCACCCGATTCAAGAGCTGTATGCCTCACAGGGCTATACCCAATAAATGAACTTGAACTTGAACTTGACCTACTGCCGGGTACGGAGAGGGGAGGGGCCTGAGGGGGGGGGTCAGGGGAGGGGCCTGAGGGGGGGGGTCAGGAGAGGGGGGGTCAGGGGAGGGGCCTGAGGGGGGGGGGTCAGGGGAGGGGGGGTCAGGGGAGGGGCCTGAGGGGGGGGGTCAGGGGAGGGGGGGTCAGGGGAGGGGCCTGAGGGGGGGGGTCAGGGGAGGGGCCTAAGGGAGGGGGGGTCAGGGGAGGGGCCTAAGTGAGGGGGGGGGGGTCAGGGGAGGGGCCTAAGGGAGAGGGGGTAAGGGGAGGGGCCGATAGTGAAGGGGGCTGTCTGCCTGGCTGGCTGCCTGGCTACCTCAAGTCACGTGATCTTGTACACAGGTAGAGGAACAACAGGTTCCACACTTGCCCACCAGGGATTATGTGTCTGTCTGTCGTGCACGAATGCGCTGTCCAACCAAGTTCCGACCTGCACACTGCGAAGGAACGTGTTTTTTTCCGTGTGTCTGTCTGTCCCGTCCGTCTGTCTCCGTGTGGACGCTAGACTTGCGAAAGGTTTGTCTCGCGAGCCGTGGAGTTGACGTTGACGACGAGTCGCTGGTTCCACGCCGCAAGCCCCGCGGTGAGCCGGCGCTGTTCCGCTTTCCCATCCGGAAACTTGAAAGTAGTTAAATGAACAGTTTAGTGCCGTTATTTCGCATCGTTTAAAAAACACGTTCCTTCGGAGTGGGCTGAATCGAACGAAGAACGCCACTTGACCGACTCAGAACGAGACGGTTCCGGGGCCAAACCAGAGCCGGTCTCGAACGCACCGCCCAGACACGGAGGGTGACACGCCCCCTCCACCACTCTAGCCGTGACTGCCCCACGGTGGCTAGATGTTGACTACCTCGCCTGGTGCGCAGGAGGTCTGTGTCTCTCTCTCTCATCATCATCACGGTGGCTAGGAGATGTTGACTACCTCGCCTGGTGCGCAGGAGGTCGTGGGTTCGATCCAGACCATGGCTACGCCTGCTGCTGTATGTTTGGAGTTTGTGGTGTCTCTCTCATCATCAAGGTGGCTATGAGATGTTGACTACCGCGGCTGGTCTACAGGAGGTCTGTGTCTCTCTCTTTCATCATCACCACGGTGGCTAGATGTTAACTACCTCGCCTGGTGCGCAGGAGGTCGTGAGTTCCATCCCGACCCTGACGCCTGCTGCTGCTGTATATTTTGAGTTTGTGGTGTCTCTCTCATCATCATCACGGTGGCTAGGAGATGTTGACTACCTCGCCTGGTGCGCAGGAGGTCGTGGGTTCGATCCAGACCATGGCTACGCCTGCTGCTGTATATTTGGAGTTTGCGTGTCTCTCATCATCACGGTGGCTAGGAGATGTTTACTACCTCGCCTGGTATACAGGAGGTCGTGAGTTCCATCACGACCCTGACGATGCCTGCTGCTGTACACTTGGAGTTTGCGGTGTTTCTCTCATCATCACGGTGGCTAGATGTTGACTACCTCGCCTGGTGCGCAGGAGGTCGTGGGTTCGATCCAGACCATGGCGACGCCTGCTGCTGTATATTTGGAGTTTGCGGTGTCTATCTCATCATCACGGTGGCTATGAGATGTTAACTACCTCGCCGGGTGTACAGGAGGTCGTGAGTTCCATCCCGACAGGCTAAAATAACCCCTGCCCCGATTAAACCCGGGTATAGTTTGGCCCAGTCCAGAGTATACCCGGGGGGGGGGGATGAAGTCTCCAAGGCTAAACTAGACCCCCTGGGGGTTTAAACTCGACTGGGCCAGACCATACCACTCCAGGCCAGACTATGCCCCGTGTGAAAGTTCAAAGGCAATTATCCATACAGAGAAAAGGCGACAACGAACTTCTATCGATATCTAAAACGCATACGCGTGGAAGTAAGAATCTAAATTTGATCAATTGAAGCATTTTTAGGGTTCAGGGGTTATTATTAAAGTTTTTTTCTGGTTGAAGCAGTCAAAGTCGATGTGTTTACAGTTTAAAATAAAATGTTGGAAAAATTTAGTAATTCACGTGTATATCGCTCAACGCCATTACTATCACGGGGGTATGATGATTTGACCTAGAGGGGCATCATTTGGCCTAGGCCATAATATACCCGGCTATAATCTAGCCTAGGCCGTTTAGACCCCGGGTATACTACACCTGTGGGTATACTACGGCCTGTGGGTATACTACGGCATTTGGGTATACTCCGGCCTCTTACACCGGGTAAAGTCTCGTAAATGGAATGACCATTGTCAGCCGTGATTGATCTATGGCTGAATGAAAGCCTCCCCAGCTATCGTCATCTCTCAAGATCCCAACACAGGATTCTGTCACGTTGACAAAAGACAAATAGTTCACTGCAGTCACGAAAGCTTTCAATCAAAAGATGCACACATTTATTTAAAAGCAAACGGGCATGTGACCTGTATCACAAGAACAACGGGTCTCACCTGAGTGATCTGTACAGGTTACTTCCAAAAACACAAACTTTGTCCTAACATCACTTATTCAATGTTTGACCCTCATAAATAAAATGTTGCATGTACACAAAATCAGTGTTCATTCTAAATCATTGACAGACATTTTCCATTTTAACAAAATTTAATTACTGCAGTGAAATATACTGCACCAGGTTAAGCTATTTCAAATAATTATGCACCGTCTGCTTAACAGTGGATGTAAAACATACTATTGTGTCATTCAAAACCAGTAGGCCATTGCATGCTTGCGTCTTGAGTCAAAATGTAGCAAATTCTCAACATTACCGACAAATTACACAACTGACATGAAACATCGTCGCCCCCCTACTGACAGGCTCTTGTTCACATACTCTTTGGTTCTTTCAGTAAAGTCATGTTGGTAGCAAAAATAATAGTAGATCAGGAAGTTTAGATCGTAACACAGGGATCTACCCAACCCACAGGGAACACAAAGACTGGCCGCTCACTCTTACTCTGCAGGTTGAACCCAGGAACTGAGTGTTCAACTTCACATTATTTTCATTAAAGGCCCGTGACAAAGGAGCATCTATTGGAGCGACGTCTCAAGCTGACACATCTACCGGGTCTCACCTTGACTTTGTGTTTTCTAAGAAGTCCACCCACACCTCCACCTCCACAAACTGCTGGGAGTTGCCTCACTCTGCCTCACAGTCAGAATTCTCATCCTGCTTCACGTTGCCTCCATCAATGTGAAGGTCCCATTTTGCAGTATAATCTTCATCTTCACATTTTACCATCACTTCTTCACTCTTCACCATCACTTCTTTGCTCTTCACCATCACCTCTTCACATTTCACCTCGATACCTTTAAGTGTCCAAGCTGGGATTTTCCTCCAGTTATTGTTTGATGAGGGATGGGCTCATTGCAGCACTTTGACTTTCACAAGCTGATTTCAGACTCCACTCCTTGCAGATCTTCTGATGCTTGTGCGTTCTCTGGTGTCGTTGAAGATTTGATGACCGTGCAAACGCCTTCCCGCCAAGTGCACCTGAAGGGTTTCTCTCCCGTGTGCGTTCTCTCGTGTCTTTGAAGATGTTCTGACCGTGTAAACGCCTTACCGCAAAGAAAGCACCTGAAGGGTTTCTCTCCCGTGTGTGTTCTCTGGTGATTTTTAAGAGCAGGTGACTGTGAAAATGCCTTGCTACACACAGTGCACTTGAAGAGTTTCTCTCCTGTGTGTGTTCTCTGATGATTTTTAAGAGTAGATGACTGACAAAATGCCTTCCCACACACAGTGCACTTGAAGGGTTTCTCTCCTGTGTGTGTTCTCTGGTGGGCCTGAACAACGGATGCTTGTGCAAACGCCTTCCCGCAAATCGTGCACCTGAAAGGTTTCACTCCAGTGTGTGTTCTCTGGTGTATTACAAGATTATGTGACTGTGAAAATGCCTTCCCACACACACTGCACTTGAAGGGTTTCTCTCCCGTGTGTGTTCTCTGGTGTCTTTGAAGAGTTTGTGACTTTGCAAACGTTTTCCCGCACAGAAAGCACCTGAAGGGTTTCTCTCCTGTGTGTGTTCTCTGGTGATTTTCAAGATGATATGACTGTGAAAATGCCTTCCCACACACTGCACTTGAAGGGTTTCTCTCCTGTGTGTGTTCTCTGGTGCTGTGTCAAATTTCCAGTGCGATCCGTGCTGTATGCACTCTGGTCGCATTGTTGCCTTGCCGTACCGAGCTGTGCTGACTGCCTTTGCTCCATTAGACCAATTCTGCAGAGGAAGCGTCGAAGGAAGCGTCAGCTGCAGACAGATAATAGGAATGTCCACACCATTCTAGATTTGAAGCTTTCGTGACTGCAAGGATTCATATTCTTAGGTTTTTTCGGTAAAGTCACGCAGGTAAAACATTTTAATTAAAAGTAAAATAAAACAAATAAAAAAATTCACGACGTTTCGGAAGCAACACAAGCCTCCGTCTTCAGGTGGAACCGTCATAGCCACGACAGCTGTATCAAGTAAAAAAAAAAAATACAAAAAAAATACAGCTGTCGTGGCTGTGACGTTTCCACCTGAAGACGGAGGCTTGTGTTGCTTCCGAAACGTCGTCAATTTTTTAATTTGTTTTATTTCCTTTTATTAATTTACATTTTTTACCTACGTGACTTTACCGAAAAAAACCTAAGAATATATCCACTCCGGTATCGAGGCACAGAAGAACGCATACGTACAGTCACACGTGACTTACACGTCTATACTTATTCATATATTCATGATGTAGTAAAAACGTTTCTCAAATTCATCACACGGGCTGTGATGGCACACAATGAGAGGGCAAGTGGTCATAAATATGCCTGGGAGCCCTCGTATCTTAAAAATGAATGTTAACCCAAAACTCCGAGCACACAATTTCGGCTGTCTGGCTACAAAAGGAATATGTATAAAAGCTAAATTCAGCTGACATTGCAAAGGGTGTTGAAAACAATTCTATTTGTGCTATGCAGAAATGCATAAATTAACGTTCAATCACAACTTAGATGTCCTTGAATGCTGGGATGAACAGATCTGAATTGAGCTGCATGTGCTTCCAGAGGGAAACAAAAATAAACTATTGTTTTGATATAACCTCCGTGTTCAACAGAGTTAATAGACTTTACTGCAAACACAAACTTGACACTGTCACACACTGGCATGGTTAACAGGTGGTGGTTTGACCAGAACCATGCCTGGCCACCTTCATCTGCTCAGAATAAATGATTCCTCACTCCAGCAAGTAATTAATTGTGGATCAATCAACATAGCCGAGGCTAACTGGAGTTTGTGTGTCTCTCTCTCCGTGGTGAGATGTTAACTACCTCACCTGGTATACAGGAAGTCGTGGGTTCGATCCGGGCCCTGACGCCTGCTGCTGTATATTTGGAGTTTGCGTGTCTCTCTCTCCGTGGTGAGATGTTAACTACCTCACCTGGTATGCAGGAAGTCGTGGGTTCGATCCCGGCCCTGGCGCCTGCTGCTGTATATTTGGAGTTTGTGTGTCTCTCTCTCCGTGGTGAGATGTTAACTACCTCACCTGGTATGCAGGAAGTCGTGGGTTCGATCCCGCCCTGACGCCTGCTGCTGTATATTTGGAGTTTGCGTGTCTCTCTCTCCGTGGTCGCGTGGATTTTCCTCCGGATCTCCCGGGTTTCCCCTCCACATTTAGAGTCAACATCAGTACGCGTTTAGCGTCTTTGACCGATACACATTACCACACGTATTCTTGGTTCTTTCGGTAAAGTTACGTAGATAGAAAATATCAATAATAGATAATAAAATTAAATAAAATAAAGACCACTTGTGTTGCGATCGAAACATCGTGTTTTTTCTCTTTATTTACAATTTAATAATTTTTATTTCATCATCTGTTATTTTTATTTAATTTTCTGTCTAAGTGACTTTACCGAAAGAACCAAGAATATGAATTCCAGCAGTCACGAAAGTTTTAAGGCAACACATTCACACGCAAGTTCACAAAACCTCACCTTGCGTTGTGGGCAGGTAGCTTCTGAGAACAAGAGCGGTAGAGCAGCTCAAGCCGGCTTGGCCTGGTACAAAATATGAAAAATAGAAACTGCGTGAATATTTACAGTGAGGGGAAAAAGTATTTTGATCCCCTGCTGATTTTGTACGTTTGCCCACTGACAAAGAAATGCTCAGTCTATAATTTAAATGTTATGTTTATTTGAACAGTGAGAGACAAAATAACAACAAAAAAATCCAGAAAAACGCATGTCAAAAATGTTATAAATTGATTTGCATTTTAATGGCATAAATAAGTATTTGACCCCCTCTCAATCAGAAAGATTTCTGGCTCCCATGTGTCTTTTATACAGGTAACGAGTTGAGATTAGGAGCACACTCTTAAAGGGAGTGATCCTAATCTTAGCTTGTTACCTGTATAAAAGACACCTGTTCACAGAAGCAATCAATCAGATTCCAAACTCTCCACCATGGATAAGACCAAAGAGCTCTCCAAGGATGTCAGGGACAAGATTGTAGACCTGCACAAGGCTGGAATGGGCTACAAGACCCTCACCAAGCAGCTTGGTGAGAAGGTGACAACAGTTGGTGTGATTATTCGTAAATGGAAGACACACAAGAACTGTCAATCTCCCTCGGCCTGGGGCTCCATGCAAGATCTCACCTCGTGGAGTTGCAATGATGAGAACGGTGAGGAATCAGCCCAGAACTGCACGGGAGGATCTTGTCAATAATCTCAAGGCAGCTGGGACCATAGTCACCAAGAAAACAGTTGGTAACACACTACGACGTGAAGGACTGAAATCCTGCAGCGCCCGCAAGGTCCCCCTGCTCAAGAAAGCACATATACATGCGCGTCTGAAGTTTGCCAATTAACATCTGAATGATTCAAAGGACAACTGGGTGAAAGTGTTGTGGTCAGTTTAGACCAAAATGGAGCGCTTTGGCATCAACTCAACTCGCCGTGTTTGGAGGAGGAATGCTGCCTATGACCCCAAGAACACCATCCCCACCGTCAAATATGGAGGTGGAAACATTATGTTTTGGGGGTGTTTTTCTGCTAAGGGTACAGGACAACTTCACCGCATCAAAGGGACGATGGACGGGGCCATGTACCGTCAAATCTTGGGTGAGAACCTCCTTCCCTCAGCCAGGGCATTGAAAATGAGTCGTGGATGGGTATTCCAGCATGACAATGACCCAAAACACACGGCCAAGGCAACAAAGGAGTGGCTCAAGAAGAAGCACATTAAGGTCCTGGAGTGGCCTAGCCAGTCTCCAGACCTTAATCCCATAGAAAATCTGTGGAGGGAGCTGAAGGTTCGAGTTGCCAAACGTCAGCCTCGAAACCTTAATGACTTGGAGAAGATCTGCAAAGAGGAGTGGTGGGACAAAATTCCTCCTGAGATGTGTGCAAACCTGGTGGCCAACTACAAGAAACGTCTGACCTCTGTGATTGCCAACAAGGGTTTTGCCACCAAGTACTAAGTCATGTTTTGCAGAGGGGGTCAAATACTTATTTCCCTCATTAAAATGCCAATCAATTTATAACATTTTGACGCGTCTTTCTGGATTTTTTTTTTGTTATTCTGTCTCTCACTGTTCAAATAAACCTACCATTAAAACTACAGACTGATCATTTCATTGTCAGTGGGCAAACGTACACAATCAGCAGGGGATCAAATACTTTTTCTTGGTTCTTTCGGTAAAGTCACGTAGAAGGGCAGTAATAAAATAATAAAAATAAAACATAATAAAATAATATAATAGTAATATAATAATTTTTATGTTTTATTTTTTATTATTTTATTACTTTCCTTCTACGTGACGACTTTACCGAAAGAACCAAGAAGTTGAATCCCTGCAGTCACGAAAGCTTTAAATCTAAATTTAGATCAAATACTTGTCCCCTCACTGTAGAATAAAACAGAGTTACAAAGTGGCGAGCCGCGTGAAGACAAACTAAACTAACTCAGGCGAGGGCAGGAGGCAAGGCCCCGCGTAGCCAGGCCGCGCCTTGTAATGTTCCAACCTGGACATCGATTCCAATGCTGCTCAATTGACATCCCTACGAGAGGCTCTACCTTGGTAAACAACAACAACCACAAACCACCACAAGAATTTATCACCTCAGATTTCAGAAAAAGCGCGGAGCGGGCAGCTTTCTGTTACCTCGTGACGTCACGCGGCAGCAGAAAGTGACATAACGTCACTTCCGGGATACAAGACAGTCCCCTCCCACAGATTCAGCAGTGACCATCGCGGAGGTGACGTCACGCACAAGAGCGCGGTGCAGGGTGACGTCACAGAGCTGGATTGGAGTTAAAGTTTTTAGATTAAATTTCCATTGCTCCATCTCTTGAACAGAGACCCCTTGGGTGCGTGAGCTCAGAAACTACAACGTGGACATTATTGTGTGTGTACACAGTGTGTGTGTGTGTACATTGTGTGTGTACATTGTGTGTGTATACTGTGTGTACACAGTGAGTGTGTGTGTACACTGTGTGTGTGTGTACATTGTGTGTGTACACTATGTGTGTGTACACAGTGAGTGTGTGTGTACATTGTGTGTGTACACAGTGAGTGTGTAGACTGTGTGTGTGCACAGTGAGTGTGTAGACTGTGTGTGTACACTGTGTGTGTACACTATGTGTGTGTACACAGTGAGTGTGTGTACATTGTGTGTGTACACTGTGTGTGTGTACACAGTGTACACACACACTTGTAGAGGTAACTTCTTTATTACAACACTCCAACAGTACTCCCAACAGTCCTGATACTCTGTTAAAGCCAAGGTACACAGCCTAGCTACACAGCCTAGATACTCTACTCTGGCTACGCTCCGGAACTCGCCCTCACAAGGTCGTAGAGTCGGGAGTTCCAGAGTCCCAGCACTGGCTCTCACAGCATCCCAGGGTCTTCAGATGGCTGGTCGTGGGTCTTGGGTCTTGAGTTACAACTGGGCCCCGATCGTCCAGGGAGCTCCCCTTTTATGCCTGGTCCAACGAGGGGTGGGGCCGTGTGCGCCACCAGACATCCCACAGAGCACACACAGCCCCCCCCCCCCCCGTTGGCGGCACCCAGAGGCTTAAGCGTCTGGACCCCCTGGGAACCCAGCGCCTG